CTGAATAATTTTTCCTCTGGAGTAGTTAAAAAAATATAATTTCTATCCTAGTGTCAAGAGAGTCCTTCCTGTTATCCTTTGCATTCTTCTATTTGTGTGTGTGTGTGTGGGTGTGTGTGTGTGTGTGTGTGTCCTAGTAGAATTTGCCTTTGATTGATTTCACCCACTATTCTTGCTCATACTTCAAATTTTCAGCTCTCTTTATTTTTCTTTTAAGCTTGATTTTGTGCCTCTGTTTACTTTTCTGCTAATTACTGAGTATATGCATACTTGGGAATCTAGTTATTTTTGCCTATTCACCACCTTGGTTCTTGCATATCTGAAATGCCTCCAGTATCCATATTGCATCAAGAAACCTAAAACCACCAGTTTTCTAAATAAAGCCACACCAAAGAGATCTCCATTGGAGGGTGTTCTTTATTCTGCATTCATGAAATTCTGTGTGTTGTCTTTATTCATTGTGTCTATTCTTTTGTAATGCAAAGCCACTAAGATTCTTTCAATCTATTTATTCCTACTGCCTGGAATTTGATTTTTTAAAAATAATACACATAAAAAAACAACTTATTGGAATTTTATTCTCGGTTAACATTGGTCTTTCTTTATGCTTTCTAAAGACCAATAGCATTTATCTATATCCAATTTACTTTGACCATCAGTCCTAATCCAGTGGCATCAGTCGACTTAATTAGCACATTCTCTACTTTGTCTTCCAGATTTTTTATAAAGATATTAAACAAAATGGGACCCAATATCGATCCTTGTGGGACCCTACTGGAAACTTCTCCCCAACTAGACGGACTACCAATTACGATTTCTCTCTGTATACGGTTAGATAGCCAGTTTTTAATCCATTTATTTGTATTTCTGTTGGAGCCAATTTGTTTAGCTGTTCCCTTTAAAATAATGTATGGTGTCTTTGCAGATAACCTATGGACATGTATCCCACAGAGACTTGGGGACAAGTTAAAATTTTTTTGTGAGGCTCTAGTTGGGTTTTCCCAGGTTTGTTTTATCAATATAGCAATGGTGAGCCTAAGCCTTAGTTTCAATTCAGGAATCATTGTTGTGCTAGAGAAAGAAACTAAATGGGCCATTTTGAGATTGTTTTTCATTTATTCTGAGA